TTCCTATATAAGCTCTATTCAGTATTATTCGGCAGCTTTTCAGCTTGCTCTGGAGCAAATTACCCTCCTCCATCCCCAGCTCCTCCTTTCGCCACAGTCAGGACTTGGCTTTCTGATATTCCTTGCTAATCAGACTCCTTTATCTTGAATAAAGTGTTACACTTAAATATCATTAAGTACATTAATGATATCTGCCTTGTTCTGTTATATAGGGGGGTTATTATTGCTGCTCTCCCTGCTCATTCATGACAGGCTGCATGGATGGGCAGGGAGTTTTTTGCCCAGAACAGAACCATACCGCCAAACCAAACTTTATGCTAAGTATCTATCATTTTGACGATAGTGGTCCTGACAGAACTTTATTTATAGATCATTTATGAAAAGTTTTTTCCTGAAATATTTTAGTTGGGTGTTCATCTAACCATTTTTAAATGTTACTACTTGTTTCAGAATGTTCAGAGTAGAGTCATTCAAAAGCAATATTCCCATAATGTTTGCACAATTATAAAACGAAATGTTCCCTTAACATTTGCATAACCAAGAAAGCTTTTAAAACATTTAAAAAAAAAAAAAACGTTTTTGAATGTTCTAAAAGTATTCAGAAACAATATTTTATAACTTAATGATAACATTGGTAAACCGTTCTTAGAACATTTTTCGTTAGCTGGGATTAAGCTCGATCCTAATTGAATTTCAATCGGATTGGAAGGGGGTAAACTTGAAATAATCCCATTATCAGGAAAAAATTACACATGGAAACACTAGTTTTACATCACACAGATGTGTGCATGTTTATTTACGTCTTATGGTTCACTTAAAGATTCTTTAAAAAAAAAAAATGATGACCTTTATTTAAAACCGTTATTTTTGAGTGTAATTAGTGGAACAATATATATATATATATTTTTTTTTTGACCATAAACACGGTATTTGATCACTCTGAATGCTTGTAAGTAATGAGTAATGAATATGAAGGTGCTGATGCAGACTGAACTGCTGGAACTACAGCTGCTGAAGTCACTGGAATGCTCTCTGTGGGTTGAGGTAGATAAACTAGCTTTTATCTCGCTCAGACGTAAGGATAAGTGAGATTTTAGCTGCGTCACTAACAGTAACTTCTGAGTCTGAGTAGTTTAGCTAGTTTTGTCAGATAGTGACAAAGAGATAAGTGACTTCAGAACTTAGTTATTAAGAGAATGCAGACGAACATACACATGTGAATGTTAAATGTCTTGACTGTGCATGTTGAAAATGTCATCAGGGTGTCCTGGAAATAAAGGTGGCCAGAGGGGCACAGAAAAAACTGGGAGGCAACTACAGTAAACGGAAGCTGTACTAGAGTAAACTGTTTGTGATATTTCAAGATTTTCTAGCTTTCACTTGATAACTAACATAAATTACTTAAAGTTAAATGTAATTTGTCCGGGTGATTTTGTCAAATTGACGTCAAATTACTTTTTTAACTCGCATAAAAACCAGTTAATTTATGTTACCACATATAGCACGCTACTTATCAGAAAAACTTTTGTAGCATGCACTGAAAAAAAAAAAATCTGTAAATATAAGGCACACCTACCTGTATTAATTTGAGGGAAATTATTTCCTTATTTTTTTTTTTTTACAAGTGTTTTACCTGTATTTTACACAACATTGCGTTGTATTTTAGAATGATCGGAAATGAATGGTGCCACTTCTGTTATTTTACAGATTTATTTCTTTAAATGATGTTAAAGAACGATTTTATAACATTTTTATGAGTGTTCTAACTGCCCCTGTTTTGGGGTCAATTGTAGCATTTGACCTTGTCTGTTCAAGAACAATTTGTACATATATTATCATATGTTACATACATTACAGCTGACAGATGTAGCATTAAACTAGCATTACAATTTTGGCTTTTTCTAACACACACAGTCTCTAAGAAACAGAAGTAAATGCAAAAAGTCTTGCAACCGACCCCGCTTTCCCCCTAAAGTCCAGATAATGCTGCCATTTCGGCCACTCAAAGTTTTTCCTTTGGTCTTCCAGATTTTCTTGGTTTCAGAGCAAGCTACATGGGTTTGTGCACATGGATGACGGTTTTGCAGTGTGGACAGCTATGCTCTACATCCTTGCAGGCTTTCACACAGAATGGAATCAAACAACACGGCCAGACCCTGGATTGAAAAAATGAGTGCGTTTTCTTTTCTCATATCAGTTTGATACATTTGAAATCTGCTGAATACGATTCCTTACCCTAAAAAGCCAAGACTTGCACAGATGACCCACACCATCATGCCACTGATATATTTAATCTCTGTTATGACCTCCTTCTGGCAGTATTGACATTTCATCCGCCCCGCAACAGTAGTCAGACGTGGTGGAATAATTACTGCATCTATAAATACATAGAAAAAGAGTTAATACTGATGAAAAGGAAGAATAATATGATTTTAAACCTCTTAACATGTCACACAGCTTGCTGAAACCTTCTAGTATTTGAACACAGAGTAATCTAAGGCTTTACTGCTCACCCGGGGCCGGCGCAGGAGCCGGGACCATCTGAAATACAGGCTGTGCCACTGGAGCTGAAAGAGAAACAAGCTGGTGATGCAAAGCCACAGAACCAGAGACTCGTAGCACATCAACACTCAATTGCTAGTTTTTCCTCAATACTTCAAAACTCTTCACACAGTCCCCTAACCAACTTTCATCTTGGCACAGCAGCTAATTTCACATTCAAAATGCACTTAAACTACCAAAACACTTTATACATTTCTCAAACGAACTCGTTCTTCCAAAACACTGGCAAATATTGAAAATATTATGTGCTCAAATTTAGATGGCAAATATCGCAGCCAGTCAGAAAAAGTGAAAAATGTCACACCTTTTCTAGAAATGCTGCGTTTTTACAGTAACATTGTGGTATGCGGAAACATTCCTTCTGAACTAAGATCTCATCTGCTCTGATCTATGCGAGATGTAGATGTTTAGGTTATGCTGGATGCCATGACTGTCAGTGGTGGCTGTGTACGGTAGACCATGATCACTGATGGAAAAATGTTACCAGTGACTGATAATCTCTGAATTGAGAACCAGAGGGTCTACTGACCTGGGTGGGTTTGATAGGCAACCTGCGGTGCCGGGTAGGTTATGTTGGTTTGGACCACCTATGGTGCATATGGAGGGGGAAATTGTCCTCTGTCCATTATCAGCAGCCTGTAACTGAGAAAAACATAGGTGCTTTAATAGTGTGACAGTTTCACATTCAACACTGGCGAGGCAATTTTCTTTTGAGTGTGACTAAATTATCAACTGTGTTATCAGTTGTCTTATCATGAGACCTGATCGTCTGAAAGCAGAGCCCCGATCAGCCAGTTTGCCAACATTTTATCTGCCAGGAGTTTTGAGTAACAGATAAGTCAGCAGAATGCGTGGATTCGAAAAAATGAGAGAATCTGTGTCTAACATTTCAAATCAAACATTCTAAAAGTGAGCGCTTCAATAGTAGCTGCTGACAATTACTGACATTAAACACTGTAGCATAAACTACTGGTCAGATGAATAAAAATAAAATGAATAAAAGGAAGGGTAATGCAGGTAAATAAGGCCACTTTTGACCCTGACTTTGAGAATTACCTGATATCACCCATATCATCTGTTAATAAGTTCAGCTTTCATAATATTGCTATTATTTTTTATCTCAGGTTTTACAATACCAATTATTTGTATCCAAACATCACAGTGCACTTAAAAAAATGAACAACACAAAAAGCTAGCTGTGGAACAAGCAATATTCAATTATTTAAAATGAATGAAACAAATTGGATTTATTGATAATAATCATATAAACCTTATTACTGTGTTTAAAACCTTTTCTGTTTATTAGTACAATTGCTAAAATCTTACCTGTTTTATTTATGACTGACAAATATGCATCAGATTAGGTTATCAGTTATGTTAAAACTGTGAACATTTACATATATAAATAATATGCAATTCAAATGCATAAATCTGAAATGTATGTATTTGTCTGTGGAAACAGATAATCCAAAATCAGTCCAAAACCCCCAAACTCAATATAATATGACACATACCTGTGTGTTTCTGCAGTCGGCGGAAAGCTGTGAACTCTCTTACAGTATGCTCTTGCCTATAAAGACACTGAGATATTATAAAGAGTCTGTCAGAATATTGTAAAGATAAGGGGTGGAGCTGAAAGTACAGTCATGAGGGCCGATGCTAATGCAGATTCAGACGTTCCAGTTAAAGCAACTGAGTTCCAGATTGAATGGTCAGGAACAACATGTTTACAAAACTCCTGAATTTCTAGTCCAAGCACCTCATCAAGTGTCCCATCTCAATTCCAACCATGCTTATAACTGTCACCTTTTTTGCTCAGTCTCAGACTGTCATCCGTTATTCTCTTAAATGCTTGACATAAACACACTAAAAAGATGGGTGTATGCAATACAACAGATTTTGGTCATATCGCCCAGTCCTAGACATCGATGTTATACATGCCCAATGTAGCGGACACCAGGACTTAAAGCAGGTTTGTTACGCATTTTGGGAGACACAACAAGTGAATAGGGAAAGAAATTTTATCAATATTCCTATAAAATATGAGATATTATTATGAAAGTAATTATTACTTCCAATAGTGCACTTCTTTTTTCATTACATGTCGCCCCAAAAACACATTAATATGCAATTTACATACAGTCTATAGATAAATTGTATACAATAGGAAAACCCATTTATGGCCATTTTACACACATATTGCATAAAGCAAAATGGTATATAAAATCATTGTTATATCTTTTATAACATAGTTGAGAATAATTTTTATACAAAATTTAGTATAAAAATAAATACAAATTGATTGGTGATTAAAAAAAATTAACTGTTTTTGCCTTTTAGTTTAGTTTATGAGGAGTCGGAAAATAGATTTTCTTTATATTCGTCATGTCATATTCTCTCTTTCCTAATCTTGTTCTAGTAATTTTTCATATCGCTACAGTGCATGCCACAAACAGTACACGCTGTATATTATCATGATAGCCTTGACTTATCAATGCAAAGCTCAGTAACATATCCCTTTATTCAGGGTTGAATAGTTGAGTTTGATGAATGCAGTCGACACAATTACATTCATAATTTTAATTTAATTTCTTTTACTTGTCTTCATGCCATGCTGTAAAAAGGTCTAAATTATGTCACTTCCTGGGTGTCATGGTTTAAGCAATGTTACATTTTATGTAATAGGGCAAAGTCATGCAGTGACAAGAATGCATGCAAAATATTACGTTTGGTAGTCGAAAATGAAAAAATTAAATGTCTCCTGTTTTTCGTTGTTATTTTTTTGTTTCAATTTTAATAAATGGCCTGTTCGTGTAAATTACCATCTGCAGATTATAAACCACTTTATCATGTTCTGATTTGATTTGAATGGTTTGATCCGTTTCTGATTATATTTGTAGTGTGTTCATACACAGCTTATTTGTAATCTGTGACCAGATTGTGACCGTACTACAGTCGAGCTCCTCTCTTCCACTTCTTATGGGTGATGTGCACACACTGTAAATGCATCATTATATTTTGCTCTGTCAGTTGTACTCATTGCTAGTAAAACTTTAATGTGATAGTCCACCATGGGAGGAAGTTTCCATTAATCCAGTGAAACAGATGAGTGCTGTTCGATTCAACATTGATTCATATCACCTCAATTTGAATCCGGTGTTTCCTGGAATTAGTCAGTCATTAACCTCAGTGAAGCAACATGTCAATTAAAATCTTGCTAGAAAGAGGAAGCACCTAACTGTAGAACAACACAGAGAGGCCATGCAGCATATCCTGGGTAAACAACTTCACTGTCCAGCATGCAATGCTGAAAATTCTTTGTTTTCTGAAAATTTGGTGACATAAACCTTTATGTTGCTAAAATATCTAATGTTTAGACTTTAGAGCCTTGATTTTCCATGCACTGAAGCATCTCTCATCTTCCTCATCCAGGGCTGTGTTTCCCAAAAGCATCGTAAGCCTAAATTGATCGTAGCTCCACTGGTTTCTTCGATGCGCTTGACGATGCTTTTGGGAAACGCAGCACTGCACATTCAGAACTGGCATGAACAGGATATAAAACGTCCATCACCTTGCATTAATCAAATCTGGAGTTTTGCCTTTTCCTTCTCTGCTACTGTTTTAGGGGGAGACGGCCCTTACGAAAATTAACCATGGTTTTATTGTAGTAAAAGTGTAGTAATGTTTTTTTGGCGTATTGATTACCATTTGTATAATCACAGGTTTACTACAAATACCATGGTTAAACTATGGTTAGTCTTGCAAAACCATGGTTAATTTGTGGTTACCATGGTTTAACTAGTAACCGTGTGTTTTTGTTGTTGTTTTATTTGTAGTAAAACCATAGTTATTTTTCGTAAGGGAGGGGAATTACAACATTTATTTATTTTTGTTTAGCCAACAAAAATGTTTGTGCTCTGATAGCCTAGTTATAACTTTGGTTAAATCCCAAATCCAAGGTCTGTATCTGAATAGTTTCGAGTCAAAATAATAAAGAAAGAATGTTGAAACGTGACACTTGGAACTCTCGCGTGCGTAACGCGTGCTTAGCAACCGTCGGTATCAAAAGCATCGTAAGCCTAAATTGATCGTAGCTCCATTGGTTTCTTCGATGTGCTTGACGATGCTTTTGGGAAACGCAGCACTGCACATTCAGAACTGGCATGAACAGGATATAAAACGTCCATCACCTTGCATTAATCAAATCTGGAGTTTTGCCTTTTCCTTCTCTGCTACTGTTTTAGGGGGAGACGGCCCTTACGAAAATTAACCATGGTTTTATTGTAGTAAAAGTGTAGTACTGTTTTTTTGGCGTATTGATTACCATTTGTATAATCACAGGTTTACTACAAATACCATGGTTAAACTATGGTTAGTCTTGCAAAACCATGGTTAATTTGTGGTTACCATGGTTTAACTAGTAACCGTGTGTTTTTGTTGTTGTTTTATTTGTAGTAAAACCATAGTTATTTTTCGTAAGGGAGGGGAATTACAACATTTATTTATTTTTGTTTAGCCAACAAAAATGTTTGTGCTCTGATAGCCTAGTTATAACTTTGGTTAAATCCCAAATCCAAGGTCTGTATCTGAATAGTTTCGAGTCAAAATAATAAAGAAAGAATGTTGAAACGTGACACTTGGAACTCTCGCGTGCGTAACGCGTGCTTAGCAACCGTCGGTATCCAAGCAACGGAATACAAACATTCGGCGACTTCAACCACTACAGGCTGTTAAATACTTTAATTTACACCAAAAGATGATGCCATCCCAAATTTTAGTGTCTCGCCCCTACTTTGACACGCGGGTAGCGGCCCAGAATGGCTCACAGCCGCCGGTCACAAACCCGGAGACCGCCGTTAAAGAAAACGTGTACGCTGGTACATCCGCCGGTCTGGCCACGGCGGGCTACCGGAGCGCCAAATACAGCCCCGAAGAGTGGCTCGCCAATAACTCTGCTCTGTTAAACCGGTCCGTCGCGGACCGGGATCACGCGGAGAGGATTTGCACCGAGTCCAAAGCGCTGAAAGCGGAGACCGACGCCGGGACTTTACGCACGCAGACCGCG